CCTGGCCTGGATCTGCCAAGTTTCAATATCTTTGGAGTTCCTGCCAGCTTCTGCTCAAATATAAGGAGTTATGTGGTGCTTGTTGCCCTGAGGCCTGTTGTACTGCTGATTGCCCCTGATTATTGGGCAGTGCTTTCTTATACCAAAGTAGAATCTGCCTCCTTTTAACTTGTTCCCATTGTTTTGTGTCCTTACAAAATTGCACAAAACAGTTTGCAATTGCCTCTTCCCCCTTACAGTCCTTCTCTCAACTAGAGATGGCCATTCCAACCTACCTTGGCTTCTTTTCTTCAGGTCGATCACCCCTAAGTCTCTCTAGCCTTTGTCACAGAATAGCATAGTTCTGTCCATTATCTTGGTTGTCTCCCTTTGGGCACATACTAGTCTGTCAATATAATGTTTAAAATATGGTGCTCAGAAATGACAACAATGCTCCTGGCACCATCGGGCCAGTAGAGCAGATAATGGGACGGTAACTGTCCTCAACCTGGGCACAGCACCCCCCTACTCCAGCCTGTCCAGGCGTCGCTTCTTTGGCAACCCTACCACTCTGCTTGCTCACTGGAAGCCTGCACGCAATGAAAATCCTCAGATTTTTCTCACAAGAGCTGGTGCCAAGTTCTTACTCCCACCCTGTATTTATGCAAGGGATTTAAAAAACCCAGTTGCAAAACTTTACTTTTACCCTGTTAACATTTCATCTCCTTGTTTCCAGCCTGCATGACAGCCTACTGGGATATCTTGTTCTGTCTTTATCATATTAGCTTACGGCTTTGTAATATCTGCAAATTTGAGAAGCATGTTTCTCCAACTCCATCTAAAGTGTTGATGAAAATAATGGATGGCACATTTGGATCTCTCTGTGGGAATGTACCAGGAGCCACCTCTTGGCTAACATAGAGACATCTATCAGTAGTTGTTTAAACAGCTGGGAATCTAAATGTCCACATGTCTTCTCTGCATTCCAGTGAACATGTTTCTTGATTGCAGAGACCAGTGTTCCCCCAAGGGATCTCCTATGCACCAAATAACCCAAAGGACCCTTGTCATGAGGGGCTTCCTGGTTAAACCAAAACCATCTATCTTTCAGCTTCATAGGCTACCTTGGAACTGTGGTCTTTATTGAATGCTGCTACAAATATGCTTCCCAAAAGGTCTAAGAAACTTGCCATATAGCATTGTCTTGAGCACTAGGAGTCCCTCAAGAATTGGGAAGCCAGGTGGTCACATGGAGATCTACCACTTTATTCTATGGTTAGTGGCTGCAGGCATGGGGAACGGAGGGGGCTTATAAAACAGGCATGGCCGTCCAGTGTCCAGATCTTGGTTTCTAACACTACTCTCTAGTAAAGGAATCAGTGTTCCTTAGATAAATAGCTGATTCTAGGACTGGGGCAGAGAATACATAAGATGAGCCTGGAACATTTTGCAGTGCCAGAAAGTAAGAAACACTTTTTAAAACTCTACAGTATTGGCCTATGTCAAAGGGACACAGGAGCCACTGAGAGATCTTCCAGTGACCAAAGCTGGAACAATTTGAACCACAAAATAAAGTAGTGTTGGACTATCCCCAAAAGTGTAAATATCCATGAGTCCATGCTGATATAAATAAACGGTCGAATGAATGAATAAACGTAAGACAACAGACAAATCTCCAGTGCAGAAGAATTCCAATGATTCGTGGAGATACTCTGTCTTTGAGGAGGAAGAGCATAGCTCCCTACTCCTTAAGTAGGTTGTACATAGTGACTTCCTTCCACGGAGCACAGTAGAAAAAGGAGGAAAAAGAGTAACTTGATGATATAACAACCTGACAAACACTGCTTCAATCAGGTGACCAAAATTCACATTAACAGTGATAAGTCATGTTAATAATATGTACCCTTAATAGGATGTGATGAGAGTGGCACTTGACCTCTCTGGTGTTTTCAGAACCTATAAACCCAGTCTAATCATGAGAAGAATACCAGATAAATTTGAATTGAGCAACATTCTACAAAATAAGGAAGGCCTGAGAAACTATCGCAGCCAACAGGAGCCTAAGGAAATAAGATGACTAAATATAATGTGTTCCGAATGGACTCCTGGAACAGGAAAAGGACATTAGCTAAAAATTAAGGAAATCTGACTAAATTTGTTAGCAATAATGTATCAATATTGATTCATTAATAGTGACAAATGTTATTAAATTAATATAAGGTGTTAATAATAGAAGAAACTGGGTATGGTGTTTATTTTCTCTGTTCTA